ATTTATTGTGTCAGCATCAAGTGACGACTGAAGGGCTTCTCTAACTTAAAACGCGTTTTTCTCTAAACATTGTTTTGTGAATGGCGGGCACGATAACTCAAAAACTAATAACCCAATCGATTTCAAATTTTTACACGTTTCTTTGTGAGTGTATAGCTATCATATGAACTAGGATAAAGCCAATCGGTGAAGATCTTCCTTATTTTTTAACTTGGTTTTTGGTAAAAAATCGGCGATTTTCCAAAAAAAATTTTCAAAGGTCCGCCATTTTGTTAATTTTAGAGCGAAGTCAATAATCCTAGTTAGAGAGCTAGACATGTACTCTTTCTAACACCGTTGGAATTTTCGGATTCCGATGTTCCAGTGAGGAGTTATCATGCCCGCCATCAAAAATAAGGACTTTTCTTTAATTACAAAAAACAACAACAAAACAATAACAACATTTTTTTGTAAATTATTTTTCTTCTTCTTTAAATCTGCAATTATATATGTGCACAGTTACAAACCTTAACAAGCATTGGTATTGATTTACCAGCCTATTGAAAATCTTGAAAAATTAAAATAGTGAATGGGGGGAGGGATCCCTTAAAACCAAATTGAACCTTTAGAGGATCTTAATTCCACCAAGACTGATAGCGGTGATAATTACCAGGATCTGACTATGTGTCCCCTCAAATGCCAAACAAAAGTGCCGAATGTGCCCCAGTCTCCCCTACAATTATACATCATTATAAGTGGAAGCTAATCTTTCAGAATATCTTATCTCATATTTAATTTTTGGCCATATATTTAATTTTTGTGCAAGGGATTTCTAACATCAGTGGGAACTATTTAAATATTATGCTAGTAATTGGCCCGAATTGTTTGTCTATGTGAAAATGGCTACAAATGTCCTGTGCATTTTGTTCTATGGCCATTAAGGGGTTTTGAAATTTCTTGTTGTGACTAATAATGATGTTTTGAATGTAATCATTGGAAACAATGAGCCTATATGGACTGTGAATGTTTTTAAAGCCTAACAGGTTTGTGTTTTTTCTATAGAAAATTCTTTTTATAAAGAAAATAGACATAGCGAACTAGTGATTTTTCTATAAAAAAAATTGGCTCAAATGGTCCTTAATTTTGTTTCAATAGAAAAATGTCCCTAAAGGCCTTCTGAATGTAATCTGAAGAAAAAAATGCCCTATAGGCCCTTTAATTTTTTGTTTGTTTTAGAAATATGGATCTAAGGGCCTTCTCAATTTTTTCTATAGGAAAAAAATAGCCTTAAGTGTTCTCAGATTTGTAACAATGGGTCCCGAGATCTTTTCTACGAAAAAATTACCCTAAGAATACTTGGAATTTGTTTCTATTAAAAAATAGACCTAACGGTATTCTGAATTTTTTGTAAAAGTAGCCTCAGCGGTTTTGAGAATTTTTGCTATAGAAAACATATCCCTAACCGTGCTGTGATTTTTTTTCTACACAAAAAATAGCCCTAAGGGGATTCTGATTTTTTTTCAGTAAAAAACTTTGTGAATTTCTTGCTAAAGAAAAAATAACCCTAAAGGGCTGGTAATTTTTTTCATTGGAAAAACTAACCCTAAATGACTAGTGAATTTTTATATATAGCTATGTTGTTCTATAAAAATATTGCACTAAGAGGCTTGTGATTTTTTCAAAAAATAGCTGTAAGGGCCTCTTCCACAGAGAATGTTACAAAAGTGCCTGCCGACTTGTATACATTACACTGGAGTAATATCATTGTAAATATATGGCTTTGTGCATATATTTACAAAGTGTTATGTGATAGTAGGTTGCACATGCTACGAAAAAATAGTCGTCCAAATTACAGACACCCTAGTTGAAAAACTATGGGAGCTATACCAAACCGTAACATTATTAATTTTTGGTAAGAAATTTGACATCCCATAAGAATTTGATAACACAAATCAGAGCGAAAATGGTTGGAAAACATAACCAAACCAAAATACCGTAGTTTGTGATGTAACGTTATATGGGGGCTACCCGGAAACTTGGGCGAATATTCATATTTTTTTGATAGCGAGATTTTATTTACTCAATGAGAATCAGAGATATAAAATTACATCTTTCGATTTCGATGAAGGATGTTCCTGAAAAGTGAAAACCTGAAAAATCGATTTAAGGGGACCCCCCCATTCTCGGGGTCAAAATTTTTGTTGATATAATTCGAATCTATACTGATTAAAGAATGTCTCTACAAAATTTCAAGTGAAAATCTCAATAACTCTTGAAGATATAGCCGATTTATTATGTCAGCATCAAGTGACGACTGAAGGGCTTCTCAAACTTTAAACGCGTTTTTCTCTAAACATTTTTTTGCGAATGGCGGGCACGATAACTCAAAAATTAATTATCCAATCGGTTCCAAATTTTGCAACGTTTCTCTGGGAGTGTATAGCTATCGTATGAACTAGGATAAAGCCAATCGGTGATCTTCCTTATTTTTTAACCTGCTTTTTGGTAAAAAATCGGCGATTTTCCAAAAATATTTTTTCAAAGGTCCACCATTTTGTTAATTTTAGAACGAAGTCAATAATCCTAGTTCATACGAGAGCCAGACATGTAATCTTTCTAACACCGTTGGAATTTTCGGATTCCGATGTTCCAGTGAGGAGTTATCATGCCCGCCATCAAAAATAAGTTCTTTTCTTTAATTACAAAAAACAACAACAAAACAATAACAAAATTTTTTTCTTCTCTTTTAAATCTTCAATTGTATATGTGCAAAGTTACAAACCTTAACAAGCTTTTGTATTCATTTACCAGCCCATTAAAAATCTTGAAAAATTAAAATCGTGAATGGGGGGTGGGCAAACTTGGGCAAAAGTTGATCATTTTGGTAGGAACATTTGCTACCAAATGATAATCAAAAATTTTAAATTGCTCCCAAATTGATTGAAACGCCTAGTCAAGCTCACAAAAATACCGATCTTTGGTTTGTAGCGTTATATGGGGAGTTCCCTAAAAGAAGAACCAATATTCACGCTTTTTATTTGAAAGATTTACTACCGTTACTACCGTGATCATTTTTCGTAGGCAGATGTGATAGCCAAAGTGAATCGAAAATACCTAATTACAGCTGAAAAACGTGCCTAAAACCCCCAAAATGCCGAATAAGGGGGTTACCATTACTAAAAAGTGGACCAATATTTATAATTTTTGGTAGGATAATTTTATACCAAATGAGAACTAAACATTGCAATGGACATATAATTTTATTCTGATCAGGAATATATATATTTTATGGGGTCTCCGATGCATATTTCGATGTGTTGCAAACGGAATGACAAATTTAATATACAGTCAAACTTATGGTGATGGTTATAAAAATAAGACGAGGAAGTTGTTTATATCTTAATCGATTTCAACAAAACTTAATATACGTCAATCTAGACTCAATTCGGTACTCTATGCAAAACTTTGTTTCATTCAGACAAAAATTGGGATTCTGGTCCGTCATTTACAACTACATATGGTGTCACTTATGTAGCCAGAGGACACCCTCTGAAGATTTGAAACCCAATGAAAACCAAAAACAACAAAATTCTGCATAATAGGGGGTGAAACATCAATGCATCAACGTCAAATTCAAAGCTCTATCTCAAATATTGCGTTCTATATCGTGATATCAACAGAATATAATTTATGGGATTTTCGGTAAATATTTCGATGTGTTGCAAACGGAATGACAAATTTAATATACCATCCACCTTATGGTGGAGCACCACAAGGGGCCAGTGCCCTTTTATTTGTCTATAAAAACAACAAATATCACGTATACATTTTATTAGAATCAGGCAACCATAAATTTGGTGGTTTAAAGTCTAAAATGTTATGCTCGACAGAATTTAACGCATGATTTACTTGTTCACGTTAATATAAAAAAAGTACGAATTATAAAAGTATTTCCATTTTATTATTTCATCAAATTTGCAGAGGAATTAATGAAAAATAGTAAAACCAAACACCAGATGTTTTATTATCGCAATATATACTCTCTTCTACATTGCGCGAAATTTAAGTTAATCTATATGACTTTCCGTATGATAGGCATTGTATATCAATGATGATTTAACTTTCCCCTTAGCCAAACATTAACGACCAAAGTTCGTTGATGGTGCGGCAAGTGATTCTCTCGCTCTCACATCAAAACACAACACCTTCAAGTGGTCAAAATCATCGAAATCGACGATTTCTTAGAGTTCAACCGGTGCTGTAACTTTTATAGCATTCAGTAGCATCAGTTCAGTTGTTATGTTAAGATCTCGATCGTGTCGAAAGAGCACGACGTGTGTCCGGAAACATTCACATGACATTGCTACGAATGCCACCTTGAAAACAAAAGGGAATCTCATTGATAGCACATCGTGTGGTGGTGCTGATTATTAATCAACATATTTTGACTTTTGAAAAGTGGAGTTAAATATGTTTTTGGAGAAATTCTTTTGATTGTTAATAGCGGCAGTCGGCAGAGCAGCTACCGCATCGGAAACAAGAGCATGTGTGTGATGGGTTGGCTAACAACATCGGCGGTAGCAGAACCAACGATTTGAATTTCTTCTGCTTACATACCAACTACCAGTATTTCGGCATCATCATCATAACCTTCGTCGTCGTCGCCGCTGCTGCCGACGTCATCTTCATCAGCATAACGACAACGATAGCCGTTCATAACAAACGATTTGATTGTTTTAATTCCGTTCGATAGAGAAAACCTTTCTTCTTTGGCTCGAAGATCTTTCGCTGGAGTGGTGAACAATTTTCGAAAGAGTATTAATTCCGTTTGAGATCTTCGGAAGAGTAAACGTGTCGGCGTGTATAGTGGCATTTCGGAGATTTTATTTGATATTAAAAATAAAAAAATATATATTATGCAGTTTTTACGTTTACGTTTCATACTTCGCATAAGTGTGCTGCTGCTACTGATATTCACAAAGTTCAAGCTCGGCTCCGCATTCGGTCATAAGTTAAGAATTATGAAAAACAGTTTTCGTTATATTCAAGAAACAATGCTGCGTAGCAGTTTAAATCGGGCTCAGCTGAATAGTGGGATTGTTTTCGAATGTCGTTCAACGTAAGTGTGTGTATGTGTACGTACATGTGCATCGGAAGTCGGATATATCGATCATATTTTGAAATATATAATTTGTAAAATTATATAATAGCATAAAATGAAATGTATAAATGTGTCTGCCAAAAATGTGAAGAAGTGAAGATTTATGCAAAACAAAATAATTTAATAACCGTCACAGAGCAAAATATACGTGACTAAAAAAATAAAGGCAAATGCCATAACTAATTCCTGAATTAAGTGAAACAAATATAAAATGATGTATTTATTAGCCACATGTTAAACATCTTCTTGAAATGGATAAATTTTACCATATAAGTGATTTTGAATGCATATAATTATTTTTAAACGAAATGAATAATGGAGTGCTGAAAGTTGTAAACGAATTTGCCGTTTTACAAACAAGAGAGTTAATCATTTGTGGCAATCGAAGTTATGCTAATTTTAATGGCATTTTTACAAGTATTTTACTGTTTCGGCCTAAATATATTGTAGCTATGCGATTTCAACATTGGCATTTCAAATATAAAATATACTTTCATTCACAACCAGGGTTGCCAAGTGAGTTTGTTTTAAAACCAGTCAGCAGGGACTTAAATTTCCAGTTGATCTAGATCTGAGAAAATGTTATAAAACCATAATAGAAGAACAACACAAACTTTTACACGTGAAATGTAAAGTCATCGATGTGAAAAAAATTATAAGATTTTTGGCGTAGAGTAACTTCGGGTAATGTGGACCATTTTCTTTTTTTGATACTGTGGGCGTAACAACGGTAAAAATAAAAACAAATTGTTTTCACAGCATGGTAGATTTGTTGGCTAATTATATTCCAGGTCAAAAATTATATATATTTGTCCATAAAAATGTTATTGCATTATATTTCTAAAAACTCTAAACTGCAAATAAAAATAACTTGGCGGGTAATGTGGACCAGTATGTGTGGGTAATGAGAATCAGTAAGTTAAAGGTAGGTTGTGGATTAATTGTGATAAATTTCAATTTATTCCACTCTTGGGTAGAAATGAATGCAAAAATATATGGGTCCATGTTTTGGAATAGCCCCCATTTAAGGGTACCACCCCATTTGCGGTATTTTGAAGGTCCTTGCTTCATTATCCAACCGAGGCACCTATAATTTCGGATATCGAGTTTTCAGAGGATAGAATACCTCCTCGCATATTAAATGCGCCCTTGTTTCGAACTCGTCCTCATGAAAATGTCCCACTTTTTTATAGTGGTCCACATTACCCGACATTGAATATTTTTATTTAAAAATAATTATCGGCTTCAAAAATGAATAAAAATTTAAAAATAACCGAAAGTAATTACAGATAAACGTGTATTTTTGTTAAAGAAAACAAGAAAACCACATAACCTCTTTATATTCGAGAAAAACAAAATGTTCGACTATTTTACAAAATCGTTCGACTATTGTGCTAAAAAATTTTCAAATCACACTTTTACAATCAGAGCTACATTTTCACCTACTAAATTTTCAACATTGCAATTATTTATTAAAAACCAAGTTTGATGTTTGTTTTCACTAATTTGGAAAACATTTATCAAGGCGGCATTGGCATATTTCAAGCATTTTCTTCATGAACTAGAATAAAGCCAATCGGTGAAGATCTTCTTTATTTTTTAACTTAGTTTGTGGTAAAAAATAGGGGAACTTCCAAATAAAAAAATATTTTCTAAGATCCGCCTTTTTGTACATTTTTGAGCGAAGTCAATAATCCTAGTTCATACGAGAACCAGACATGTGCTCTTTCTAACACATTTAGAATTTACAAATTCCGAAGTTCCAGTGAGGAGTTATCATGCCCGCCATCAAAAATAAGGAATTTTCCTTAATCACCAAAAACAACACCAAATTTTGCAAATTATCTTTCTTCTCTTTTAAATTTTCAAATATATATGTATGAAGTTACAAATCATAACATGCATTGGAATTCATTTACCAGCCTATTGAAAACCTTGTAAATATAAAATCAACCATTAATTGATACACGTCGTCTAATGAAGTAGACAAACGACTATAACAAAAGTTAACAGATAAACGAAATAATCCGATCATTTTTGCAGCATAGTTCCTTGGAACTATTTCCGAAATAATGACTGTATTAGTCTGGAGTTTGTCAAGTAAGAAAAGACATTCAATATTTTAAGTCCGTATCAATATTTTAAGTCCTGGCTACGTTGTTTATCCAAATTGACAGCAATTGGCAGAGTGGAGTATTTTTCAACAGAAACTGCAGTAATGTAAAAATTCAAACATTTTCCCATGAAATACATACATTATTCATCAGATTAAAATTATATGTTGACCTATCAGTCATATTGACATATCAGTCTGTCTGTTGAAATCACAATAGAGATGGAAATTGTTAATACTGGCATATGCCCGTTACTTCGTAACCGGGTGTGAGATATATTTAAATATGTCTAAATAAGTTATTTTGTTTTCACAGAGAACTGCATATGTCAGAAGAGCTAATCAACATACACACCAATATCTAAATACTACACTCGAATGGTCATCGTAACACAAATCAAGATCTATACTAATTTTTGTACCATTTGCTTTCTTTCGTACTATTGCAGTACTTATTCCATACGTTCACCCAGTGATAGTGCACATAATTATAAATTCAATAAAAATCATATTTCCCAATTTCAGGATTCTAGACCGTACCATATTTGGTAGCATTTTAGTACCATTAGTATGAATTTCCAAACCTTCTTACATAGCCCAATCCTATACCTCAATAGTTAAAGTTACTTCAATTTTCAAGATTCCAGCTCTATTGGTTTACCCAAACCCGCATTTGGTACCATGAGTACAATATTTCAAAACTTCCTCCAACTTACGAAATTTCCAAAACTACATATTTCACTCTATCGGTTCAACCAAAATCCAAATTGTACCAAATATAGTACCATTTAGTAATTTTCGTACAAATTTCTTATATTGACAGTGCTTCTCAACCTTAATTCGTATTCCAAATTTCGAGTTTTTAGCTCTATCCGCTCACAAATTACGAAATTGTACTAAATTTAGTACATTTTAATACTTTTCGGATACTTATAATTCGAATTGGTACATCTATTCTTCACTCCATCAGTGACCCCCATTTCAAGTTCCAGGGTTCTAGCGCTAGTTCAGAACAACAGAAAAATAGGAACTGTACAACAGAACAACTGGTCAAAGGAAGAGATTTCACAATATGATACACTTTCGATGGCAGAACATCGAACATATTATTTCAAAATGTATGTGTGAAATTAGAATACTAACAATTTTAAACTTTCAAGAATTTTGAGAAGGTAATAGTACGTTTTCCAATCGTTTAACGTATCTATCAGCATTTTCAATTTCGCAAAATTATAGCAAAATTCGAATATGTTTAGGAACTGGATAAGGAATACTTTATGGTAGAGAGATTTGACACCCAACGATAAATTAAAATTTCAAATTAGAGGCAATTAGCTTAAAAAACGTATACAAACTTTTCAGAAAACAAAATCATTTGGGTACTGTTAGGTGGCGCCAATATTCATTGCAATACCCTCTGCCTTATGGCTAATGAGGTTATATACACTTTGCTATGCTAAAAATGTTAATAAGAGCTTTTGGATCATAAATATTTTATGTAATTATAAGTGTTGTAAATCATATAAAACTATTCGTTATATTAGAAATAAAATGCTAAATTTCTTTTCACTCCATTTGTGTCAATAGCATCTTCAATTAAGTTTCCATGAAAAGTGAAATTTAAATATGTAAATAAATGTAAATTTTACAAAAGTCATATTTCGAATAATTTAGCACCTCTATAAATATCGGCATAATTTTTTTTGATTTTACAATCAAATTTTATACAACAAAGATAATAATATAATAGTTAGTATTTTAAAGAAACTCACAGTTAACACGTTTCTCTCCACCCCAATACATTTTTTGATCTGTCTCGTTGCCAAAGCCAAACAAAAAATATATTGTCTTCCTTAAGATAACTAGTTCGGAAATAGTATCAATGAAAATAAAACAATATGTAGATATTGTATGAGAAATAACACAATACCTTTTCTTTATTCACCGTCTATATAAAAAATACTTGTTTTAAGAAAATGTTAATGTTACTAAATTCGAAATAAAAAGGGTGTGACAATGGGCGCAATATCTAAAAGTATTTCCGCTATGATATTAGTTTATAATATTATTTAAAGTTTATTTCATAATGATTTTTTGTTGTAGTAAATAAGTGACCAACGTAGTTTATTAAGCTATGGGATTTCGGGAAAAGCTCTGAATTAACTGTAATTAAGATTGTTGAGTTGTGGATCTCTTTGCAAAAATTGTTATTACAATTCATTCACAGGCATTTATTAATGTTTCTAAAGGTGATCCAGTAAGGGCTAGTTCGTCCCTTTGTTGTAAGCTATGCAGTACTAGAGGAAATAATAAATCTTAATATAAACCAGTAATGAAAGTAGTAAATTCGGACTGGACCAACTATATGAAGGAACATACTCATGACTATGCATACTCTGCAATCTATGCTAAATTTAATTTCATTCGGGCGGATTTAGAGTCTTCTGCGTGCCATGGGACAAATTTAGGGAAAACGATGTATAGCAAAATTAATACACGCTATTCGGCATGCCGAACTGCATGGCATAATTATACAAAGTAGTCTCAAGCAGTCATATTCAGTTTTCAAAATTTAAATGGAAATATCTTCCTTCGAAATGTACGCATATCATGTGTTCAGTTGCAAAATTTGCTAAAATATATGTTTAAGTTTCTTGCCTCTATAACTTATAAATATAAAATGTTACAAAATATATATTTTTTTAATTTATTGAAAATGTGCCAATCGACATACATAACATTTTATGGAATTTATTCTTTCATATTATGACTTAATTCAGTACGCTATACCAAATTTCTTGTAAATTGAAAGTTATATAGGGACTTTGGTGCACCATGTGTCTATCTCGTTTCCTTTTGCCTGTTACAAATATATGCACAAAGACATAATACCCTTTACCGCAGGGTATTATGTCTTTGTTAGTGTGAAGGCATGAGTTAAGGCTGGGTTTTTGGAAATTCAAAAAAGAATGGTAGAAAAAGTACTAAAATGTACTAAATATGGTACCCTTTAAAAAATCGTACTTTTGTGCATGAAAAGTGCTAAATTTAGACAAGTGAGATAATTTGGTACATGTTGGATTTGAGTGAACAGATACAGCTGGAGACTTGAGATTGGGAAATGAAATGACTGTTGGAATGTAGGTCTGGGATATTTTAGGAAATTCGTACTTATTGGTACGAAAGGTACTAATTTAATACAATTTGGATTTTGGGTGAACGGAATCCTGAAATTTGGAATTAAAGTTATGGTTGGAAAGCAGTATTGAGGCATGGATGTAGTTTTGAAAATTCGTAATGTTGTGCTCTAAATGGTACTAAATTTAGTACAATTTAGATTTGAGTGAACGGATAAAGATGGGGAACTTATATTTGGAATTAAATTTACTGTTAGAGTACAAAATTGAGTTAGTAATGGAAATAAGTTCGAAAAGAACTAAAGGGTAAAAAATATGGTACAATTTGGATCTACGGAAAGGGATAGGATCCTGAAATTTATTATTAAAACTACTGTTGGATTGTGGAATTGAGCATGTTTTGAAAGATGCGGAAAGTAATAAATTGTATTAAATTTGGTACAATTTGGATGTTGCTGAGCGGATAGAGCTGGAATCCTTAAATGTGGAACTAAGATTAATATTGGAGTGCATGCGTACTTATGGATACGAAAAGTTCTAAATTTGGTACAATTTGGAGTTTGGTGAAGATTAATGTCGGAGTGTAGTGGATGTAGTCTTGAAAATATGTACTTATGTGTTCCAAGAGTATTGAATGGAACTAAATGTGGAACTTGTAGGTAATTGGTAATTATATGCAGACGAGTACGGTTATAGCGAACTCGAATCCTTCGTTCGTTATAGACGAAGTTCGTTATATCCAAGGTAAGGCAAAATATAGGCTTTAAATGGGCTTTAAAATTGATAAGTTTTGTGTCCTTTTTGATCATTCTCAAAATGCTGATGATATTTTTTTAAAGTTGTCAGCGGTGCAGTAAAAATTAACTTTTGTGCGGATTTTCATCGTCAGTATTACGTATATTTGTAGGAAGTTCGTTATAACCAAATTCAAATATATGAAAACTGAGTTTTGGGACCGAATAAATAGTTCATTATAAAAAAGTTCGTTATATCTGTGGTTCGTAATAAGAGTAAGGATTTGTATGAAAAATATGTCTTAAAACTTCGGGACCCGGGAATGAGTTCGCTATGAAAAAAGTTCGTTATAACCGGTGTTCGTTATAAGCGTGCTCGACTGTAATTGATATTCTGATCACTTTTGAATCTGTGTAATGGAAATAAGAATGACATTTCGCAAATTAGTGCTTATTTGTATGAAGAGTACTAAATTGTAATAAACTTGGTAGGAATAGAGGTGGAATTCGGAATTATAGTTTTACTTTTATATAACCTATTTTTATAATATACTGGCTTTTTTATATGAGCGTTATGTCACGATTTTTTTTTTGTTAGAGAGAATTAGCTTGAAAAACGTTTCGAACATTCCCTAAATACTGAATCATGAATCACGATGTTGGTTTTCTAGTAAAGTTTACAAAACATATTACGTTATATCATGTGTATGGGTACAAAGCCACAAAGAAAATAAATATCGCTTAACAATATTTTTGAAACAAATTAGACCCAAACCTTTATATATCTCAATATAAGAAAAAATTGGCTTAAACCATATTCAAAATAAACGACACATATATGAATATAATTTATGGGGTACCCGCTGCATATTTCGAGGTGTTGCAAACGGAATGACAATTTTATATACTCTCCAACTTATGGTGAAGTGTATACAAATGGAAATACCTTTTCGCAAAAACTTAAATAAGTTCGACACGACAGAAATAAATAATATTTTTGTATTATTTGATTATTATCCCCGAAAACACATTTATCTCATTTTTTAATCATATTTATTTTGCTTCCTGTTTTCCAGTTCTAATACATACCACGGCAAGGAGACACATTTCTTTATACAACTTGGGGATTTGGGAGGATTTCAACGTTTAGATCGCAACAAGAAGTTGGCATTTTTCCTGCATGGCTGGAATGATGAAGGCAGCAAAGACTGGGTACATGAAATGTTATTTAGTATGTTGGAAAATCCGATCTAATACCAACCACAAAATACAAAATCATTTTCTTTAACTTATTTTTAGCCTGGACAAGATTTCAACCGGATTATACTGTTTGTGTTGTGGACTGGGGTAATTTGTCACAAAATGATTATAAATCGGCCTCGATGTCCATATTTGATGTTGGCTTAACCGTGGCAGCAATTGTAGAGTTTTTAGAGAATATGTATCCAAAATATATGTCAAGGAGTAATGTCACAATTGCCGGCTATAGTTTGGGAGCTCATGCTGCGGGGTATGCTGGGTCGGTGTTGAAAGGTCAAATAGATCAAATAATTGGTTTAGATCCCGCCGGACCATTATTCACACTACCGGCGGTGGTGTCAACCGATTATCGTTTGGATGCATCTGATGCAAAATTTGTGCAAGTTCTACACACCTCCGGTGGTACTCTGGGAGTTGGTGTAAAGTCGGGACATGCTGATTTTTATCCAAATGGTGGCACAGCACCACAACGTAATTGCAATTCATTTATACAACTGCAAGATATGCAAAATACAAGTAAGTTGAAAAATATACAACAAATTTGATAACTTATATATCTTTTTGATTTTTCTTGCAGATCCCATTGCCTGTAGCCACTCGACAGCTGCCATTTTCTTTAAACACTCAATGAATCCCGACTATGCTTTTGTGGGTTATCAGTGTGATAGCTATTGGAGTTATTCCAGAGGTCTGTGTTCGAACAATCGTAATGGACGTTTTGGAATACATTCACAAAAGATGGCCCATGGTGATTTTTATTTCGACACCTTATCTCAAAAACCCTATGTACAATCGTCGTCATCGAGACGCCGTCGTCGCAAACCTAGTTATAAAATAATTTTCGGCTAATGTGATTTGTATTTATAGGACTTGAACATTTTGTAGTAGAATTTATTATTATTTGTTTAGATGTAAGTTAAATTTATTCCTTTTGTATATTTAATTTTATTTTATAGTTTACATTTTATTTATTTGAATAAGCTAATAATATATAAAATAATACATTTTTGTATTTTATTAATATTATATGAATGTTATATTTGAGAGAACACATTTTTTTCATCAATTTAATGAAAATGACTCCATGAATTAAACCACCAATTGAAGAAAAAAGCAAGCGAAGAATATATACGTCTGAAGATATACATCGAATCACTTTCTGATTCGATATATGCAGGTTCGACCGCCTGCCGGCGATGTTTGACTATTGAATCGAAAGGTTTTGTACATATTGAACCAAAATTATGTTTACCTTTGGTTTAAACTGGTATATGTATATAGTACAGTACCTTGCAACAAGAATCATAGGAGCATCATATAGTTGGCAACGTCCGTATTTTTACGCATATTACTATTCAAAAAAACAAACCCTAAAGCACTGTCGGGCGAACCACCGCACGCGTGAACTCTCGCGAATGTAAGTATCACTATTCTCTCACACACATTCAACTGAACCAATTGGAAAACCATCGACACACTCACAAAGACAAGTGCGTGAGAACAGAATTTTTTACGCTCTGTCCGTGCCTGCCCCAAAAGGAAACTGTGTTAACTCTATGCCTAATAACCAAGATATAATACGTAGATCAGTATATCGTTGTAGTTCATTTAATTGGACTATCATGCGGTTTTTTGTAAATAATCTGAGCTAGATGTAGGAACTCAAAGCTGGTTGTTCCATTAGCCGAGCTTAAAAAAGTTTTTCAAGCGTTTCGGTCTTGTGCGCATCTCATCCAATTTGAAAGGCCATATTCCGAGGTGTTGTCTTCTACTTGATCTTTCCATCGGATTCGTGGGCTTCCCCTTCTGCGTGAACCAACACTTGGCCTTTCTCACAACATGACCTAGCCAATGTAGTCACTGCAGCTTGATCCGTCCGACTATGTGGATGTCCGAGATTATATAGTATAGCTCATGGTTCATTCGACGACTATATTCACCGTCGATACAGATCGGCCCATAGATCTTCCGGAGAGTTTTTCTCTAAAACACTCCAAGAGAGGTGGCAGACATTTGTGACAACTGTTGGTATAAAAAATCGTTCACAACCTCGCTGTAGTTTTTAAGTTTCACAGTTGGTCCGAGTCTACTGGATGTCATCCGTACTGATACCATCATCTGGGTCTTTTCGCCATTTACTGCCAGTCCCACTTTGGTAGACCCTTTCTCAATTCGTTCAAAGGTGACTATTACCGTTCGCAATGTTCGACCCATAATGTAGATGTCGTCGGCGTTGGCGAGTAACATATGCTGTTTGGTGTGCAGAGAGCCATTTATGTTCTCATTTGCATCTCGTATGACCTTTTCTAGCAGAATGTTAAACAGGTCACACGACAAACTGTCACCTTGTTTGAATCTTCGTTCAGTATTGAAGGGCTTTGAGAGGCCCTTTCCAACTTTAACTGCTGACCTTGTGCCAGTTAAAATTATCCTGCATATCCGTATATATTTCGCAGGCATGGCTTTAAACACCTCTGAACGGATAGGGCTGTCGAATGCGCATTTAAAGTCGACGAATAGGTGGAATGTGTTGATGTGTTTTTTCTTGGGACTTTTCCAGAATCTGTCGTAGAGTCAAAATCTGGTCAATGGTGGATTTGCCAGACCTGAAGCCGCATTAGTATGTTCCAGTAATTTAATTAACAATTGGCTTGAGTCGTTCACACAGCACGCTGGATATCACTTTATATGCGATGGGAAGGAGACTTATTCTTCTATTGTTGATGTTTCATTATGGAGGCTGAATTTTCCGACGATGGGACCTAAAATATTTCCAATTTTTGCATTAAGTTCTCCTAGTAAAATTTTAATGTCATGGCCAGGCCAGCGGTCATATGCCGTTTCTAGGCTATCGTAAAATATTCCCTTAGTCTGTTGATCTTTGTCATCCGTAGGAGCATGGGCGCAAATAAGACTGATGTAGAAGAACATCGCTTTTAAACGGGTTATAGCAATTCGCTAATTTACTAGAGTGAATCTGGAGACGAGGTCTTTTATTCTCCTGTTAACCAAAAATCCACAGCCAAATTCATGTCTCGGTTCATGGCAAATGTAATACAAGGCGTAATAATCGGATTTATTTACTCCGTTCTGTACATCTATACTCCCTTCGATAATTAAGTCTCGACTCAAAATTGTCTGAAACGGATTTGATGCAAAGAAACATGAGGTCTATAACCAATATTTCTATCAGGCACATTTTTACCGTATCAACGTATATTTAAGGCCGTTATAAGACTGAGTGTATAATAACTTCTGTAAATATAATCTGGTCTTCTATAAGAAGACGCTTTGGCTTTCTGGTATTTTATGTGATGACCTATGTAATATCCAAAGTCCTCGGTCCCTCCCTTCTGTTACCTCTTTCAAAGGGCTGATATTTTGAAAATTTGTTAATCTCATATAAAGTTTCTTTACTTTTATGAATTGCTATTTATGATTGGGCTGAGTATATAAGTATTGTATGTGTAACCCAAAAAATATATTGAATTTCATTATATCATATGAGGAATGGATAAAATGCAGTTCCGTACGTGCCAATCTTTAATAAATAGCTCATAAACATAACAAAAACAGTACAAACTGAACCTTTAACAGGGGATGTAGCTCAGATGGTAGAGCGCTCGCTTAGCATGTGAGAGGTACGGGGATCGATGCCCCGCATCTCCAATGAAGCTGATTCTTTTTTTTAACGATTCCTCCCTAAAGCTGCTATAAGCTATAATTGATCACATTTATGAAATTAGCCTGTAAATCTTCACAACCAGAAATAACCTGTCATTTACTAATGTAAAACCATAATTCAATCACAACTTTTATTTGATCATACCATCACTTCGCATAGACTAATACGAATAGCATAACAAATTAACCTCATTAATGTTAAGCATAATCGCCGCACCATCACAATCTTGTGAAAAATTCAAAATAAATAAAATTAACCGCGCTAATAACAATTTTTGGGCTCTCGCCATCACCCTACCCCCATTAAATTACCACTAACTGTGTTTGCGGAAACATCAGCTAACCTCTAATCAAAATTCCAACTTTCAATAAACTCCACAATCATTGTGAATAATTTACATTCTTTGCCAAGCCATTTAATATCAACATATTTGCATGCACACACAAAGTTATACATATAAATATTTACATGTATTCCGACTTATGTTTACATATGTGCGGGTGGATGTGGATGTGTGTGCGTGCATAAGTAGCAAGTATAAATAATTACGCCAACAGACAACGTCGAATTCACCCACATTATGAAACCTCAAAATACGACAACCACATCCGTACCGGTAGTAATGGTTTGTAATGCAGGCAAAGTCACAGCCGACAGACTTGCATCACATTTTGGTCGATGGTAAAATAACGTACCGCCATATAGGCGGGTGGATGTATGAAGGAATCCTTGCACACCCATACAAACACGATGCAGCATTACGAGAGACAGCTATAAATGCAACATAATTACACTATAATTGACGTAACAAATGATTGCATTTAGCACAGACAAATATGTGTTGTGCCTAGTTGCCGATTTATTGCTGTGAAATTAAGATCGATTTTTTGTATTTTATCAAAATATGCCAACAATATTAGGTAACAAATTTGGTCTGTTCCCGTACTACAAGAATCTACTATTTTTTACTACTATAAAAATTGCTCCTTTATGATATTGAAGAAAATAGTAAAAATTGGCAGATTCTTGCCGTACGAAAACAGACCAATTATCAGTCAGGACTATTATGAGAAACTCTTCGGTTTTTCTCTGGAATACCTTTTGTTTGAGAATAGTTTTGATTTTTTAATACAGTTTCTGTGACTGCGTTCTGACTTCTATAAGAAAACACTTTTTCCCTCTTTGATAAAATTTATATAACTTTCTGGCCTATGAAAATAATTTCTTCTTTCTGCTTTACTATGAAAATAATATTCAGAAAATATGACGAACTCTTGATAATGAAACCTGGCAAAAACTGATACGATTTTTATATGCCAACGTTGTGATGATTAGGTTTAGCAAATCTTAAGACTAGAAATTGTTATATTCTTGTCAGGCAATGTTCTGGATAGGATCACCCGAAATAATGGTTGCCCTTCCTGTATGTTATGTTGAGGTCATATTTTGACCCACAAATTTTGATGAAGGGGAAGTAGAGTAGAAGGATATAATAAACAAAAAAGTGTCCGTAGAGTAACTGCGGGTAATGTGGACCAGGCGTCTAATGTGGACCACCCCCATATCAAAGAAAATGTTTTCCAAATTAGTGAAAACAAACATCAAGCTTGGTTTTTAATAAATAATTGCAAAGTTAAAACATTTAGTAGTAGAAAATGTAGCTCTGATTGTAAAAGTGTAATTTGAAAATTTGTTTGCACAATAGTCGGGCGTTTTTGCAAAACAGTCCTGGTTTTTCTCGAATATAAAGAAGTTATGTGGTTTTCTTGTTTTCTTTAACAAAAAAATACGTTTAGCAGTAATTATAATCGGCGATTTTTAATGTTTATTCATTTTTGAAGCCGATAATTATTTTTAAATACAAATATTCAATGTCGGGTAATGTGGACCACTACAAAAATTGGGGCCTTTATATGAGGACGAGTTCGAAACATGGGCGCATTTAATATGCGAGGAAGTATTCGATCCTCTGAAAACTCGATATGCGAAATTAAAGGTGCTTCGGTTGGATAATGAAGCAAGGACCTTCAAAATACCGCAAATGGGGCGGTACCCTTAAATGGGGGCTATTCCAAAACATAAACCCACTTATTTTTGCATTCATTGTTACCCAAGAGTGCAATAAATTGAAATTTATCACAACCAATTCACAACCTACCTTTAA